AGAACATCAGGTTCCAAGCTTGAGCAGGGACACCTCCCATCAGACCAGGCTGCACAAGCCTCATCCAACCTGGCCTTGAACATGATCAGGGATGGGGCTTCCACAACTTTCCTGGGCAACCTATTCCAGCACCTCACTACCCTCATGGTGAAGAATTTCTTCCTGGTCTCCCTGGAGCCTTCTTTTCTTCAGGCTGAATATTGGGACTCCAGTCCCAATTCCTTCAGCCTGTCTTCATAGCAGAGCTGCTCCAGCCCTCTGATCATCTCTGTCCCAGGCTGTCACGTTGTTATATCTCCTCCTCCTTGTGTGTGTGGCTTGTGCTCTGCTGCCAAAGCCACAGCTGCAGCCTCTCACTGGGGTGGTGGCTGTTTCCACACTCCACATTCCTGGATGGTACAAACTCGTCCTACAGACCTACCTAAGGCAGGGAGAAAGAGCAGAGAGTTGGGCCCAAGAACCACCAGAGAGAGAAACGCTGTCTGAGGAAGAGAGATCCCTGCACCTCAGGTCCAAACTTGCCCTCTTGGTGCAAGAAACTTGGGACATGGGAGGAATTTGCCAAAACTGGGGACTTTGGAGTTAGTTGAAACATTTCTGTCTCTCCCCAAAGCCTAGATTTCCTTGGAGAACAATGTGTTCCCCACAAAACTTACAGGTGGTTTCCAAGGAAAATTTTGGAACTGGGAGAAGTCTCACTTTCAATTTCAGATTGTTTGTTGTTTCGATTTGGGCTCATGAGTATTTTCTCAGACACTGTCATGCTCGTTCCCTTTCCAAACAGGCAGTGAAAAACATTGAAGGAAAAATTCCTCTCCTGCCCTCAGGTTTGACTTTGCCCAGCTCTGAAGACAGGCCCATACTGCACACTTTTACCACCACAGTTACATCAGCTCCACCACCTCCAGAAAGAAAGATATTAAGCCAAGAAAAGCAATCCCACACTAGTGAAAAGCTTGTACCTCTGCTAGGAAGCTCTGCACAGCTTTCTAAGTCAAAGACCTTATTTTCTGACTGCCAAGTGATTTTTTTTCTGTTCCTCAGCCCCCATCTGCACTATACCTGTGTGGAGAGGGATGTGCTCTGTTTTGGGGTTGGTATTTTTTTTAGAAATTACAAGAAATGCTCCATGGGGTGTGGGCTGGTTGGTACAGCACCGAGGGCAGGGGCAGCAGGCTCAGCTGCAGGAGCAGTGCAGGTGGCTGCACACCCTGCACACCCTGAGCAAAGCAGAGAAGTTAATTAAATAGCAGGAAAGGAAGAGACTGTTTAAAGAGCTGAGTCTGAATGACGAAAGGTCTTAGTCACTCATTTACCAAGATCTTAGGCAAAAACATCTTTTAAAATAATTTTTAGCTGGATCATGTTACTTGAAGAAATTTCTCAGATCATCCAGCAAAAAATACTGGGAAATGTCACTCTCATTGCCTGAGACTTTAGTGTCCAGCATGTTTGTGACAACTGCCACCTCCTCTGCCTCCTCTTACGCTAAGCAACCTCACCTAGCACAGGGCTATCAGAGCTGCTTGAGAAGAATTATTTTTGTCCTGCAGGAATTGAACATTTTCTTCCTAAAAAATGTTGAGTTGAAACTTTCCAGTATTTCAACAGAAACCTTCTCCAAAAACATATTCTTGTTTAATTAAGAAAAAAACCCTCAGCTGTGAAAGGCTCTGTCTGAAGAGCCTTTCAAATTTTAAGAAATACTGAAAAGGTTCTACCAGTCAGTCCTTCACACCTTGTGGTGGTGACAGAAGTGTGAGAGCACACGGGAAATGTTAAGCATGCTGCATTTATGGATCAGTGGTTTGGTTTCCCATTGTGCCACTCATACCAGAAATACCCTGTTAAATTTTTTAATATGTGGGCATTTTTCCAGTGGGATCAGGGGTCCTCCCAAGCTCCCAGCAGGCAGCACACACAGCTCTGCCTGAACAACTACGTGGGTCGGGTAAGAGCAAAAGGAAGAAGCTGGGATGACAGTACTTTTGCCTCCAAAGGTCTCATCAAATCAAACCACAGCGCAAATTGTGCCCTCTTCACAAGATCAGGACTGTATTTCCTGCAGTGCCCTTCCTCAAGAAAGAAAGGGATCAGTCAGTCTGACTCAGGAAAGGTTGCAGGGTTTTCCCTCATGGTCTGAATCATCTGTTGCAGGCAGGGAGGCAAGAGGTGGCAAAACTGAGAGAGTGCCCCAGGTATCATCAGTACCACAGCAGGGTGCAAGGGCCCACCTCCAGATGAGGCATCTACTGAGGAGTGACAACCCCAATCCAAAGCACTTATGCACCATATGAGTAAAACGGTGGGAGAACGTGGGCACAGCATCATGATGGATGATGGAGAGACACCAGTGGCATTTCTAAGCCCCATCCCCTGCTGCAGCAGGAAGCTCTGTCTGCAATCCCAAAGTCATCCTGGGCCAGCAGACCTCACAATAGGCTCCCTGCACACCAGCGAGTGCAACGGTGCCTCCTGCCCTTCACACGTGGGTAACAAGTCCTGCTTCTGCTGGCACCTGATCCATTGTCTGCCAGGGCACCCAAGGCCAGGGACAAAGACTAGTTGAGCAGAAGACAAAAAATTAATTGTGTACAATGCAAACTCAGTGCTCACAATTAGAGGATGCTGTTGCAAATCCTGATGTAAGCCACTGTACAGGAGGAAGGAGTTTTAGTGAAGCCTGCCAGGTTTTTAAACAGGTCTAGATGTGAGCCTGTTGCTTGGAGGAACAGATGTACTTTGTTTGATAGGCAGCGACACCTCGTGGCACCCCCAGCCCCACCCCCGTCCGCGTTTTGCTGCCAACAGGACACTTGTTTTTCCCGGAATGGCTCCTCCGTTACGCTAAAATCAGGGGCAGTTTAGCCACAGGGACCGGTGGAGCCCAGATTTCAGGGCTGATGTTTCACAGGAAACGATTATTATAAAATTCGCCTTTTGCAAATGCTGACTAAAATCACACGTCACCTTTAAGAGAAGCTGCCCGAGGGCTCCTAGCAAGACCATAATGAGACTGGCTCCAGAATTGCTTCCTATTTTGTTCAGGTTGCCACAGGAAGCTCAAGAGCCGGTGCTGGCACAAGCTCTGCAGTTTTGATGCTAAAGAAGAACAGACCTATGACCTTCCAGACCCTTATTTACTTTCAAAGGATTCTAGTTCTTGTTGCACAAGAGAAATTGAATAGAAATTAAACAGAGGTAGTGAAACAGCCAAAGAACAGGAAATTAACTGGTAACAGAAGCTGATGCTAAGAAGAACTGGAGATTTTTGGAGAAAGTTGTGATTGGGGAAACTTGTGTGTCTCCTCCTACAGCTTGAATCATACCATGTTCAGGGAAATGAGACATCTGGTGCCTTCCTGGTAAACACACAAGCTGTGTGGAATTCCCTGTTTACAAGGAGTCACACGGAAAAGACAAGGGGTGATGGGCACAAGTTGCTCCTGGGGACATTCTGATTGGACACAAGAGGTAAATTTTTCACCATGAGGACAGTCAGACATTGGAAAAGTCTCCCAAGGGAAGTAGTGGATTCCCCCTCATTGGACAGTTTTAAGTCTCATCTTGACAGGGTGCTGAGCCACCTCATATAAACTACAGTAGTACCTAGAGAGGTTGGACCAGATGATCCTTGAGGTCCCTTCCAACCTGGCATTCTATGACTATGATTTTGCCAGTACCAAGCCCAGCTCCTTTGGCTTCTCTTCTGCCTACCACCCAGAACCTGACCTTCACAGGTAAAACACCAGGCTGTCTGCTGGGCTTGGTGAGTTTCCATCTGGGGAAGCCCCAGAAAAGCCCTTTTTCTCTTTGCCGCTGTCACCTTCTGTGTGGTATTTTCATTGACCCGTTTCCTTTCCTCGTGGCACGGGCCTGGATGTGACTGAGATGGGAAGAGCAGGAGATTAGACATGGCAACTGAACAGCCTGCTGAAAAAGCCAACACCTTGAGAGTTTCAGAGCTGTAAATGCCAAGGCCAACAGCAGATGTGCTCACAGATAAGGCAGCACAGGGGTCAAGGACCATCAGGTGTTGGCACAGTCCTGGCAGCGGGTCCTGATCTCAAAAGATAGTTTTGTATTGATGACACATAGTTGGTAAGTGGTAACTAAGGCATAAGGAAATTGCAGCACTGGCATCCAGCAAAACCACAGGATTTATCGGAGGGAGCCATGTCCTTTCATTCCCCCACACTGTGTGAGGGGCAGATGATCCCTGTCCCATTCCTGCACTTTAATTCCCCCATCCATAGAATCATGGAATGGTTTGCTTTGGAAAGGACCCTAAAGATCATCAGGTCCGGACCCCTTGCATGGGCAGGGACACCTCCCACCAGCCCAGATTGCTTGAAGCCCCATCCAACCTGCCCTTCAACACTGCCAGGGATGGGGCAGCCACAGCTTCTCTGGGCAACCTGTTCCAGTGTCTCACCACCCTCACACTCAAGAATTTCCTCCTTATCCATAAAGTGGAGTCATTCCCTAACGTCTAAAAAACATTCTTAACTCAGTAACTTAAATTAAGAGAAGATCTTTGGGCTCTTGTACACCCAAGACTATCATGTTTTCACATATTACTGACTGATTACTGTTTTTTTCTCATTGCTAGGCTAGTATCAGATCTCTCAGGCAGTAAAATCTTACTTGATTTCTATTAATATTTCACAGCCACGTAGGTAAATTCCAAAGGTCAATTTTTAAATGAGGTGCCTCAGAGGGTTGGAATCGCACTGTTCTGTGTGGCTTTTGCACCTTCCCCGTGACAGAGAACCCAGTTACACTGGAGGGCGCAGCTTCTCTGTCCCAGCAGCTCCCCCAGCTGCGCTTTTTCCGGCTCAGGGGGCAGGTCTGGCTGTAGCAGGAAGCGCCGCTGAGCGCATGGGTGCAGTTCCTCACCTCCATTCTCCGTAATTTATGGAACTTCACACAAGAGGACAGCATGATGCAAAGGTAGCAAGGAAAGGAATACATGGCAAGTGCAAAAGTTCTGCTTCGGTATGTCTACCTGGAGGGTGGTAGTCCTGATGGCGTTGTGCTTCCTGCGGCAGACCAGAGGTAGGAGACAGCTGCTGTTACCTTTCATTCCACCCTGCTGTCTGTGGCTTGGCTTGTAGGAGGAAAGTCAGAGGGAAAATTTAAGCCTTTTCAGTGGGAATTAGTCACCTGAAGTGAAATATTCCACTGTACAGAAATGACAATTTAAAATCTGTCTATAGAATCTGTCTTGTTGAAACTTGAGATGTACACGTTTACCTGCTAGCCACAGGAAGTGCCAGCAAAGTGCA